TGTGATGAAGTGGCTTTAGCGTCTTAGGGCTGGGCTTTAACCCGCTGCGCCACCAGGGAGGACCCGAGAATAACCTGTTTTTTTATATTTTTGAAATTTGAAAAGGGAGCGTAATAACGGTAGTTTCTACATTGCATACAGCTTCAGAGAAAATCAAATGCTTGACTTGTCAATGTGCCAGTGTAGCCTGACATTTCCCGAGTCACACCTGTGTTTTACAGTTCCTGCCAGGGCATCCTGTTCTTAAAACCCTTTGGGCTAGAGAGCACTGGGCCACTGTACAGGTTGTGCCCTGCACAACTCCAGGGGGCACTGATCACACAGATGGTGATGAGAAATGCGTCCAAGGGTTCAGGGCACCTCTACAGCCCGATAGCCCCGAGAGGCTTCAAAGACTCTCTTGATGAACGGGTTCTACCATTTAACAAATATTCACAGGGTACTACCGTGCTCCAGACACTGTTCTATATCAAAACAGATGTAACCCCTCTCCACGTGGAGCTTGTAACTAGCAGAAAGGAGCAGGAAGACACAGAAACGTGAAACAAGTCAGTCTAGAGTATGTCAGATGCAGATGAACGAGTGCTCGGGAGAATAGTAAAGTGGATGATGAGTGAGTGGGAGCCAGCAGAGGGGAACTAGGACTTGAAATGAGACTGGCAGGAAAGCTTCCCTGATAAGTTGGCATTTTTGACGGGCGGCTGAAGGCAGTGAAGGAACAAACTGTTCTTATGACTGAAACAAGAATGTTCCAGGTAGAGCACAGAGCAAGTGCATAGGTCCTGGGCTGGAAGCCTGCTTATGTATTAGGGGGTAGGAAGAGACAGTGGCTGCAGGGGTGGGGGCCGTGGAGGAGGGGACAGTGTATGTGGGGTGGGGGGGACGCGGGCAGACCTTTCAGGGTCCAGCCAGCTTCGGCAGGGACTGGGCTTTACTGGGGTGCGGTGAGACCCACAGGGATCCCTGAATAGAAGGACAATACATGGCCTAGGTTTTAAACATTCACACTGTTGGGCCCTCCCTGGTGGCACAGCAGGTTAGAGCGCAGCACTAAAAAGCTAAAGCCACTGCAGCATGAGTTTGATCCCCGCCCTGGAGGTGACCCACATGGCGCGGCAGACCTCTCTTGACCAGCCCGCTGCTCCCCTCAGCACTGCACTTCATTGATCTGCCTGTTCTGCTCCCCACTCTGTCTCTGGTGAATCCTCTTGCCACCCCTGCACCTCTGGCCTGTACCCCAGTTCTGTATGCACAAATAAATAAATCTTTATTCAAAAGTTTATGCCATAGATGAAATATTCCACCAAAGTGGGAAAGCTGAAACTTTTTGTCTCAATAAGTGTTAAAGCCAGTTCACTTCCAATCCCTCTACATGCTTCCACTCATAAAACAACCTAGGTGAATTCCAACCGGTGACAGGATAGAGAATCTGAGAAAACAAAATTTTAGGTTTCTCCACGGTGAGAGGGAAATGTCTTTAAGAATTATAATGATGCGGGCATGGGGTTAGCTTGGTCAAAGCCTTAGTGCCAGGGAAGTCGGCTGTCAGAGAGCAAGTTTTATTTGCCAGATTAACCTAACTTGCAGAACACTGTGTTCTGGAATGTAATCTGGGTTTCCTGAAAAGATTTAAACATCTCCACTGTTGATAATCATGCTGTAATTAAGAAAGCTCACACGGGCAGACTCACATGCTCGCCTGCTTAGTAGTTTCATATAAAATGCAATAAGGTACCAGTTGTGAATAAAATGCAAACATCACTGTAAGAATGTTGCTTTTTCTGGAACATCTTTTATCAAAGTATTTATATATGGACAACTCTCTTGCCAAAGCCCTCGCTCAGGCAAATCTTTTTTCCAAACACCCACACATTTGTTTAGTATGTACTTAGGGATGTTTTCCTCATGTATACAAATTAACTCATCACAAAAACAAACAGGAATGATCTCAGGCTCACAATTGACTTGTCTTTGCATTGATAGGCCAACACAGATTCCTTCTGTATATTAAATAAAATCACTCCACAGTGATTACAGAAACTATTGGGAATAAGTAACAACAAAAAGATGTCTGCCTTCATCTGGATTTCAGTTAATGCCATGACCAGCTTGCATCACCAAGCAATTATCACTCACAGAGGAAAAGGACTGGCCCGTGTTAAGAACCTGATGCTTTAAGAGTAAGACATGTCTGTCTGGGCAGCCAATCGTCAAAGCCGACGGCTGTGCTGGGCTCTTGTCCAGTCCTCAGCCAGGACAGCCTGGGGCTCCCCTGGTGTGGCACCAGCCCACTGGCCTTCACAGTAAGCATATACACCAGGAATTACACATTTCCTCTTCCATAACATCATTGATTTATACCAATGAGATTTACCACCTACTGTCCCAAACGATGCCATTGGCTGTGCCAGCCAGGGCCCTTGCCAGCCCTGGCAAATCAGACCTTCACGTCCTAGCCCTGGGTTGCAGACCGATTCCCTTTCGAAATAAGTCAAATACCTCATCCTCAGCATTATCATCTTTTTCCTTTTTCGCTACTCTATGTGGATGCCTATTTTATTAGCCAGGTGCTGTGGAGATTCGGGGGCAGTGGCTCAGCTCTGGGCACACTGCACCCAGAATCATGTTCCTTGGCCGGTAGCCTCTTATGATGAATAAAGACAGGTTAAACAATCCGCCCCAAGTTGGAAAGTGGTTGGACAGGGATTCAGACCCAGATCTGTCTTCTTTTTGCACCTGTGGGCAATTTTTGCATCCTTTTCTGTTTGACAGCTTTTTAAAATACGTATTATCACACTCCAATGAAATAACCTGGAAATTTGTAATTCTAAAGAAGACAACAGATAATTTAAGGCAATATTTAGCTATCTTTCTACCCCTGAAAATGGTTGTGATAAACATGTGACTTCTCAAGCTTCCCTTCTGGACAGTGTTCCTGATTCTCAGGTTTCGTTGTTGTTTCCACACTAACTGTCCTTAATCCTTCCCCCATGGGTTGGGATTCGCAAACTGTGGTCCCGATGAGTCCACAGATAGCTAATGAGTTATCCGGCCTGAGAGTCATTTTCTTGTTGACAAATCAAGAGCTACGTGGCCTGCATAGGAGGAAAATAACTATTTCTCTGACTAGCGTACAAAGAATAAAAAGTTTTGTGAAACTTCTTAAAATGTTGGATGGATATGAAATATCCAACCAGAGGTGGCTTGGGTTAATAAAATGAAGAGATAGGGATAATCTGGAAAATGAATTCTTGCCTCCGATTTCTTTCTGGACCTTAGCACTTTTATGCTCTAATTTTTAATCAACACCGCTTTCTACTGTTGAGTAATCGTGGATGCAAATATATTTAACTTGTTTGACCAAAAGCAAAATAAAACTGATACAAAAATATATCTTGGAGCTTATATCAACTGTGATGTATACACTGCTATATTTCTGTGTAAAAAAATAATTCTGTGAAAGAAAAAAAATCATCATTCTGGCCCTCCCTGGTGGCGCAGCGGGTTAAAGCACTGCATTAAGAAGCTTAAGTCATTTCCACATGAGTTCGATTCCCGCCTGCCCCGGAGGAGATCCACATGGCGCGGCAGACCTCTGTTGACCAGCCCGCTGCTCCCCTCAGCACTGCACTTCATTGATCTGCCTGTTCTGCTCCCCACTCTGTCCCTGGTGAATCCTCTCACCCTCTGCATCTCTGGCCTGTACCCCAGTCCTGTATAAATAAATAAATCTTTAAAAAAAAAATCATCATTCTATGTAAAACCTCAAATTTTTGTAACGAGGTATAAAATAGGAGTGGTTATTAGTAAATAACGAATCTAGGTTTTTAAATTTTAATTTTTAAAAGACTTCTGTTGGGTTATAAATACGTTGTTCTGCTTTTAGTGTACTGACAAACTTTCTTTTAATGCAGACTTAAATACATGATTTAAAGTCAGAAAATTTGAGTTACATCTTATAAGAAATCATATTTTTACTTAAGATGAAACTTTTTCCCAAAACAAAACCCGGTTCCTTCAATATCCCAAAGAGAGTAAGGTCCCCATTTTGTAAACTCAACACTATGATTTCCCAAATCATAGATCACTCATTTTTAGTTTATTTTCGTGAAGTTTTGCAGAGATGTAAATATTAAGCTCTTTTTTAGCTAAGCAAATGACTGATCTTATGACGATCTCCTACACAATCTAGGATTCTAAGAATCATAATTTTAGGGCTACACAGACCTCAAAGAATTATGGGCTTAGTCACTCCCACCTCCTTCCATCAACCTTTCATCCTACAATCATCCTATTCTTGAAGACCAAGCTCCACCCAGCTCAGCAGACAAGTCAAGTGCCATAGCCTCCACACACACACACCTCAGAGAGTCCACCGGAAGACACCTCTGTCTCCCTTAGGCCCACAGGAGCCCCTCTTTCTTGTCCCACATTCGCTGTACCTATCACCTGTTACATTAACCGGCACATAGTAGGTTATCAGAGCATAGTGACTGAATGTGGGCTTAATAATTTGTGAGTCATGACAGAACTTTGAAATTGTCGGTGAATGAAAAACATGTTAAGAAGAATTTTACAAAGCCCTTGGTCCAGAAAATAAGCCACAGGAGTTGAAAATTCTTCAAGAGGTGAATCAGAGTCAGTGACACACAGAAGTGACATATTCAATGTCTTCACCTTTATATAACCTCCGGAAGATCAAACGTTAATAAAATATTTATCTTCAGTTGTCACAAGCCAGACTTTGATTTAAAACTCTTGGGTACACGAATGTCATGCCAGACCAAAAATATATCATCATGTATTTTTAATTGAAACATGGATCTGTAAAAAATTTATGTATATGCCTGATATGAAAATATTTGAGAATCTCTTGGCAGTCACCCAAACAAAAAAAAATCTAAAAATAATTGTTAAAGTTCGTTAAAATTCCAACAAAAAGCATTTTGTTCGAAAATTCAATAGAGCATTGACATGCCACATAAAATGCATTATCTTACCTTTAGAGAATCAAAGCAGGCAATTACTCTTCCATTCTCAACCTGGCAACTTTTGGGTGGGTGAGCAAATTTGCATTCCTCATCAGAGCGTGAGCATGTTCCTCTTTGGAACTGTCTGCAGACTTCCAATGTCAGCCACTTTGTATCTCTGACCGGGGCTACGTTCAAAGCCATTATGATTAAGTGATTTGGATTCTGTTGTTTCCTGTTAAATGGTGAAATCAATCCAAGTTCCAATGACTCCTCAAACTATTGTGGTGGGAAATCCCACATGTAAGTCTGAAGGTAAGTGATAAATTGCTTAATGAAGTCCAACCCAGGAGAGAGAGTAAGGAGAGAATTTATCAGCAGGCGGTCACTCATCAATCAAGAGGCCCCACCTGAAGACTGTGTGTCGCCATAAAAGCACGCTCAGTGTCATCTCTGGCTGTAAAGTCGAGTCTCTTGACTGGTTTGCAGACACACCTGTTTTTAATAAAGTGACTTCAATATCATAGCACTCCTCAGGAGAATATTTAGTTCTGATGCTCACAGTTATCGAAGCTCTTGGAAAATTAGTCACTTAGATGTTCAGCTCTGAGGATTTCTTTCCCCCTTCTACCTTTTTAAATTCTGAAATCAAGCAATTGGCAAAGTCAGACAACTGAGGTATCTTCATCCACGTACAGGTCAGGGTCACATGTGGATGACAGGAAAACCAGGTTCGAACACAAATTTTCCAGGCTGCAGTCTCCAGCAGAGGGGACTTCACACAGGCACTTTTAAATCATGAACCTAGGAGACAAAAATAAAATATCATCTTACACCTTGCAAAGGAATCAATGCTATAGCAAATGATTGAGCAAGTTATCTAGAATTTGCAAAAGTGAGGTTCAGAGCTTTGAACTTTGCAGAGAGAGGAAAGTTAGAGAAAGAGAACTCTGCAGCAGAATTGCAGAAATGAACTAGGCAGAAGTCCAAATGTGAGGGATGACTCAAATGGATGAGTGTGGCAGACACAATAATTAGGCATTCCGAAACAATTCAATCTAATGTGCTTAATCGCCAAAACAGTGTATTAGAACTCTGGCTTCCAATTAATTTTACATTTAGGCCATTGATTTTATTGTTGGAAATGCTACAAACAATTATTTGGGCTGTGCCTCTCCAATATAATAAAGATATCATTATTTTGGATGAAATATGGGCTCCATGTTTTTTCCCCATATAAGTCACTAAAATAAAATTCAATAAAATAAAGCTCAGCTATGAGCTTTTTCAGTAATATCTGTTACACTCAGCTCCACTCATTTCTGAAAGCATTTTGTAATAAAAGAATACATTTTCTTAAAGAAAACTTGGAAAAGTAAACCCAAGGATTCTTTAATTTTCCCAACATTAGAAATTCCTTGTTTTTCAATGTCCACCCTACTCCCAAATAGAGGTGAATATTTCGCATCAAGTAGACCCCAATGAATTTTCTATGCTAATATTTAAAAGTTAGATTATCTAGTACTCAATCTACTGAGAAGAGCCTCTTCTGTGTGTGTATGTGTGCTTTCTGGGAAAAGAAGAAAGTTCGTTGTTTTTAAATTGTGTATGTGCACTGTGTGCGGCTGGCTTTCACCATATAATTTTTGTAATATCCTTTCTTTCCATAGAGATTTGAACTTAGATAACAAGTCTCCTGATTTTGTTCACACGGCTTTTCTACTTTCTCTTTAATGTTATTACTTGCTTCACGTTAATCTTCCAAACCACACTGCCACACTGTAAGCACTCAGTGGGTAAATACTATTCTGCATTTTTCATTTCTGAATCCCTAGGATCTTAGTCACAGCATCTATTAGGTCCTCAAAACTAAGTACTGGCTGATTTTACAGATGATCAGCTGCCAGACTACTTGAGTGAATGCCAGTCAGTTTTAGTTACATTCAGTTTCATTTCTAACTGGATCATCAGAGCAACAAAATGGCCTGTTCTATGGGACCCTGAAGTTGAATCTTATAGCAACAATGAAAATGTAATGAATAGATTCAGATTTCAAAAGCAGCATACTGAGTTTCTTCTAAGATTCAAGGATTATGAAATCATTGAAGCATTAACATTTGACATTATTGGGTCAAGCACTTGTAAGAGACTAAATGCCAGAAGTTAAACATTTTCATAAATGTATACACCCCAAGTTACACTACATATTTGCTTAGATTTGATGACCTTGTAAAAAATATTCACAAAGAACCTACAGGAGACTGGAAGTCTTTAAAATAAGTAGAGAGAATCATTCCTGAGTGGCTCACAAATGTTACCTGAAAAAGCAGGTCTCATCATCAATTATGTTTAGTCAACTGCAGGTAAACCAAGCTGAATAGGTTTCCTTCATAGTGCTTCTTCAGCCTCAAATGAATTTCTAACGGGATGATCAGCAAAGCTACATCCCAAGCTTAAATGACATTGGGACATTTATTTAACAGAACATCTCTTGGAACTAGTGGGAAATGTGACTTCATCCCTCTTCTTTTACTCGTTAGTAGAAGTGTTTTAGAGCATTATAATTGTACATGCATTTAAGGAAACTGGCAACCTCGAAAGCTATGACACATACCTAACTTCAATTGTAAACTCTTTGAGGAGGCAGGCAGGCTCCTACTTGTCTGTTTGGCACCTCTGTGTTCCAAGCAGCTCACATCAAGTAGCCTCAGTTAGGGAGTTTAAGAAGATGAGTTTAATAACCAAATTTACTCTGGGTCAGGTTTCACAGACCAGCCTGGACCTGCACCCTCATTACCTCAACCCCCACCTGTAACTCCCTTGGAGAACAAAGGAGGAGAGAAGCCAGGCAGGGGAAACATTCCTGCCTATGTTTTAAGTGGTGCGGAGGTGCTAACAAGAAGGAGATTTTCATGAATGGACTGGGCATAACTAAAAGATTTTTTCAAATGTTTTATAGAGCCCCTGAGACCTCTGGACCAGGGTCCAAGGAAGTTAGAGGGCAAGAAAGATGCAGGAGATAGCAGAGAATCTGCCAACGGTTCATGTGTAGGGAAACAGGTCCACATATGCACGTATGCTCACAGGGCTGAATGAATAATTACTCAAGCATTCCTGAAAACCACATGCGGAAGGCAGAAACAACGCTCTGAAGCCAGCTCAGTGAATGATATATGCTAAGTCTCAAACTACATACCCCCATTTCTAGTAACAGTGAAAATCCAACTTTCACTGCAGTGAAAATTCAGACATGCAGACTTCCTCAAGATAGACTTACTTTTTAAAATAGAGAAGGGTAAGTGTCCTAGTCAAAGACATTCCAGAAGGAAAAATAGGTATGCCGTGTTGACCAGGTTACCCAGACTCTCAAAAATCCACTTTCTCCCATTTTGTCTGTTTCTATCTTAAAAATCAGAGAGCTACTATTACTAAAGACACCACCTGCCTTGGGTCGGCCACCATGACCTCCATCTTCTAGAGTGGGTGTAGAGGGGCAGTCTGGGAAGCAGGAGGAGAGACTTGAACTAGGTTATGGGAGGCGTCTAAGAATGGAGGTGTCTAAGAATGGAGGGTGGAGGATGAAGCCAAGAGTGGGGAAGACTGACTTTACTATGGTTCCCAAGGAACAAACTACACTAGTGACAACACAGAGACCCAAGCGCACACTGGATCTGCTGGACCGGAAGTTCCTGAGCGGAAGCTGATGGTTAGGGTTTCACTTTCCAATGCCTCCGTCACTACCTGGCCTCAGATGGCTCTTGGAAAGTGGGTACTGCCACCTAAGGAGCTAAGTTTAAAATGTTCACTTTATTCTAAATCAATTCAAATTTATCTGAAAAACTGAAGTGCAATACAGATGTAGGAAAACTTCACGCATGCTTGGACCAATGTGAGTTCATGAATTTACATTTTGGTTGTGAATTTCATGACAGCTACATTTTAGGTCGAGCATGTCCAATGAAAATTCAGCATTTAAATTGGGATGCGAGTGAAGAATAAACACTGATTTCGAGAACTAAGTTGAGAAGATAAGATGTGGCAATATCTCACTGACATTTGTCATATAGCGAACTGGTGATATTCTTAATATACTGGATTACAAGGTATTGTTCATCTCATCTGCTTCTTTTTAACCACAGAAACTGAGAATCATTTAGGTAGCACACATTTCCACTGGTAGTACTCTCTAGGGACTTTCATGTTTTTTCTACCAGTCAACACAGAACTTTCTGGAATAATGAAAATGATCTATTCCTGAGCATCTGTCTCTAGCCCTCATTTTGACGAGTTTCCGTCTCTTAAGACCTTGGGCAAGTCAATTTCTCTGGGATCCACTTTCTTCACTTGCAAATTGTTGACAATCTTATGTAAATTACATGGCAGGATTTCTGTCAGGCAGGGCAGCTTCTAGAAGAGACATAGCAAGGTGATGAAAGAGAAAATGTCTTGACCTTGTTTCTCTTTGCAGCAGTTTTCTGTGGAGACCAGAGAGCACCTGCTCCATCCACAGATTCTGAAAAAGGACAGTGCTTTCCAGATCAAAGAGCTGGCTGCAGGGGCTGCTTAAGGTGGGGCATGCCTTACTTCTCAGCCAAAGGGAATCCACAGAGAAGTTTCCCCAATTACACATCTATCGTGTTACTACTGAAGCCGGTTTTCTCCCTCCATCTGCTACCAACCAGAGTGAGTGAAACCCTGCAGGGCCACAGAGTGACCCAGGGTATGACATGTGGCCTAACTACATGGACAGTGTCAACTGGGGTCTACTTAGTTTGAAGGCTCGTTGGAAACATGGCTGCTGTGTCCATTCCCCAGTGCCCTGGGTGAGTGGGGTGGAGGGACAACATTTACTAGCTCACCTTCCCAGAAGGGCCTCTGTTCTAGCCTGTCTGTTTGGAGAGGGCAAACTTCTAATTTGCAAGTTGGTCCGCCATATGGCAGCACTGGCCCTGTCACTGCCTGGCAGCCTAAGCTCTTTGTCCTTGACCTGTTGGTCTTTGGCTTTGGCTTATCGTTCCTGGCACACAAAACTACAGAAATCCAGACCAGATTGGTGGAGATGAAGATGGCAGAAGAAGTTAGAAGGAAGACCTGGGTTAAGCCAAAGCCTCGTGACGGAGTGAAAGTGAGCCTGCCTGCGCCAGGACAGAGCAGTCAGGCAGGACCGAACCTGGAAGAATAAGGGTGTGAGTGCAGTCCCTGGAAACCTCTCCCTTCTTCTGCCAGATTCTGCTAGCAGAGACCTTTTGACCTCCCCTGTTTCTGTGCCCCCCCACATAAGTCGCTGCTTCTTCCCTATCTGGGAGATGGACTTTGAGATGGTAGCCGCCATGTCCTCAGATACTGGCTCCCGACCAACCCCGACTTCCTTCTGCCAACTCTTAGCTCTCCAGTTTTGGCTTATAAGCAACCATGAGCCAGACCCCTAAAACTCCCCCCAAACAGTCCTGATCCCATTTATCTTTTCTAGGAGAAACTGGTCTGCGCTGGGAAACATGGTTTCCTGCTCACATTATCTTTGTTTTTCCGTTCCGGTTTCTCCCAATGCTATGTCTGTGCTTCCATTCCTGCATTTTTTTTTTTTCTTATGCTTTTTATTTTCAACATCCCAATCGACCTCATCTTAATTACCTCCTTCCAATGCAGACCCTGGACAGAATTGTAATGTCATGCCCAGTTTTTCTCAACCTTTGTTGAAATTCCCCATTTCCCCATCCTCTTCAGACATTCCACGGCCTCATAGTCTCTCCTCTGCCTTACTAAGCTCCTGATAAGGGAGCAGATAGTCTGTCCTTTGAAGCCCT